CAACCCCGAACATTCTGTGATTCTGTATTATTGCCCCTGTAATGCTTTTATGTTGGTTGTATTTTACTTTGTGTGTTTCAGTGTGTTTATCAGAAATCCTGCTTTCTATAATTTGTAATGCTGATACAGTCTTTTATTTAGGCTCTGTTTTAAAAAAGGCCAGCACTGAGATTGTTTCTTCATTTGCATTGCTAATTACAAGTCAGTTTTTGGAGGTCATGGATCCAAACAAAAAAGACAGCTGACATGTGAGAGTCTGGTAAAATTAGAAATGATGAAGTATTTTTAACAACTGGAAAAGGCAATCTTAACAAATCAACACACATTTCTGGAGCTGCTACATCAAATTTTTTCAAAGAGTGTAGTCTGTTCTCCTCCTTCCCACAGGCTGCTAAGGTAAGGCCGGGCCTGCTGTGTTTCCTCATCTTTCGTTCTTTGTCGAGCTCTGCCAACACATCACAGCTCTCAGAAGCTGGCCTGGGTTTCTTGCTGAAAGGAATGTCCTTGAGCATAGAGTGAAATTTCGACAGTGTTTAACCAGGCCAAGAGCTAAAATCCTTTCCTTTGATTCAGAATGATCTGCAAATAGTATTTGAGGGCCTGGAGGTCAGAGCTAAGCTAGTTGCTATTTTGGTGGAGTTTTTTAGCTTTGCTTCGTTTATACGCTTTGCTTACTAGGTATTTAAATTCATATTGCAAAGATACCTATCAGTTTCTCCATCTGGTAGGCGAGGTGAAATTACTCTCTGCAGTTCACAACGTGGGTTGTGGGAGAGTTGTGAGTAAAATTGATAATTCTGACTTCTTTTTTTCTGTGGAGTATGAGTACAGAGCTGTTCATCTGATTTATTTTGCGGATACATTTCATTATGTTTTCAGAGGTTTAGTTTTTCGGTTTACTATCCTAAGCAAGTGTAGTAATCATTCTTTGAAAAGATTTTGAGGGTTTTCTTGATGCTTATGCAGTAGCTGGTAGTCCTGTTTCCTCAGCTGTACCTCTACTGCGTGCAGCCCGTATGCTCACTGGCTCCAGTACACAGACAGCTAGGGCTGCTCGTAAGTGAAATTTTTCTTACGCGTGCATTTCTGGTTTGCAGAGTTTGGCTTATATTCTTGCCTCAGATCTTGTTTAAGTTAGGTCTGTGTTTCCAAAGAAACGTTGTAGTTAAGCAGCAATTAGAAAGAGGAATTATTTGAGATTAAATTTTTGAGCCTCAAAGTGGAGGCCCAACTTCTGAGAAAAACAATATGTAGTGCATTTGGATTGGTTGGGCGTGATACCTTTTCAGAAAGTTACTTGGTTTTAAGACTTACTAGCTCTAGTGCAGGCAGAGGAGCAGAATTAGTTGGAATAGTTTGGTGATTTTGCAGATACAAAGAAATCGGAAAACTTTCATCCTATGTGATATTAAAAGGAAGGTTTATAACCACATGATCTTTTTCGCTGTCTAAGCAGGGCAAAGTGTATTCGAATTAAAAAGAAAAGCTGATATTTGTGCCATTTTGTTCATTAAAGAGATACTGTAGTGCTGAAATAGGTGCATTTGTTGTTGTGGGCATTACAAATAGTGGAGGATCTGATAAAGTGGATCCTGTAAAGCTGTCGTCTTCATTCTGAGAAGCAGCTGTGGCTGGATTGTGTGGGAAAATCTCTGCTGCTCATGATCTCTCTTCTGAGTTCGAGGTCTGAGTGGTGAGGACCCATTTTCTAATAGGAACTGCAGGAAAACTGTCTTCAGGGGTCGATTGCTATGGAGCAGACAGATGTGAGCATGTGTGAGCAACATTCATCGATACAGGCTTTGTGGCCAAAAAGTTCATTTTCATGATTGCTGCGTTCTCTCTGAGGTCTCTCGCTGGTGGTTCTGGGGAAGAAGAGAAGAGAATAGTGAAGGTCCGGATGTGTGTGTGAACACGTGCAGATGAGTTCTGATTTTACTCTTTTTGTTACAGATGGTGAACTAGAATCTGCTGATGGAAAAATTATGTTCAGGAAACCAGCCAAACGTTCATCAGAGAAGTTTTTGGATTTCAATGTAAGTTCAAGTAAGAAGATGAAAGAGGCAAAGAAAACTAAGAGAGAAGTGTCTACTCCTCAGAGTACAGCTAAGCAAATAAAAAATAGCAGTCTTCTCTCATTTGATGATGAGGAAAATGATGACTAGAAGTTGTGTTTTTTAATTATTTTTATTTTATGTATATTTTAATTAGCCTTCTAGGAATCTGAGTAAGATTGAGGGTTTTCCTAGAAGCTGAAGCATGGTATCTGAGTCTTCTCTTTGTTACAGTACAACTAGAGAAACATAATATAAAACTAGCAAGAGCCAAGTCTTTGAACAGTATGTCATGTCTTTTTTTAAAAAGAGATTTTTATCATGTATGTAAAAGCTATTTGAGGTCACAAATGAGTAGCAAAATATACCTGTACATATACAGCTTATATAAATTTTCAGTCTACATTTTCAAATGTCCTGCATTACAAAAAATGTATTTCTTCTCTATTTACTGGCCTTAGCTGGCAGTTATGTCTTTTTTACCTATTATTGTTGACTTTACGTTCAAATGAGAGAGACTTCATGGCTGTGGAGCTGGCTGATGTTTTCTGTCTCACTTTAACAGAAGTTTGCGCAACTTTGGCATGTGTGGTTTGTCAGAGCCCTTGCAGCAAGTAAGCCTGGGGTTGCTAAAATCAGTGGTCGTAATCCTGTCCTTTGTGAATGCAGTCTAAGAAGTATCAAATTATTTTGAATTGATTGTGATAGCAAGATACAAACGTTTTGATTCTAGTTCATGATATCAACTAATGCAAAAGAAACGTCTAAACCCTTGGGAGTTTGTGCACTTCGGTTATCGCGTTGGTGGGCTCATTGGTTTGGTGGTAGATTGAGTTGGGGTTTTTTGAAGGTGTTTGTTTCAGTTGACTGTCTATGTGTTCATAATTATTTGGGATCTCAAACAGCTTATTTAAAATAAATGTAACCTTTAAGCTGTGGAAATGCCTTATTTTGGTTTTCTACTAGGACATTATAAACAGGACATTTGAGTCAAGAACTGTTTTAACTGTGCTACAAAGTTTAAAAATTGTTAGGATTGCCTGCGTTCAAAGTACGCTGAAAGTCATCATTTCAGTACCATTTATGTAACAGGATGTGCTGAAATTTGAAACTGAGAACTGATGGGATTGGGGAGAACAAGGTGGTGGAAATGGGACTAGTGACTCTGAAATCACTTGGAAGTATGGTGTTTTCTGTTACATACAGAAGCAAGACCTGATGCTGCTGCAGAATGATGATGAAACCAGTTTTTCTGCTGTGTGGCAGGACGTGCAAAATTATTTGGGCTGTAAAGCTTCATTGGGGAGCAAATTTGAACTTGCTGTGTGAAACATGTGAGTTCAGTTTGTTCATCTGGTATTAATAAATTGTGGGGGTTTTAAGTTGTACTGAGATATTTTATGAAAATTTCAGTGCATAAAATGGAGTGATTTTGTTGCCTCATAATGAAGTCTTTTACGACTGCTGCCTGTCTCTGTATGTACCAGCTTCCTGCAGTTATGTATTTGTAAGTACATTAGTCTTTTAATTTATTTTGTATCAATTTTTGCATATGTGTATATACACTCATGAGAAATCTTGTAGCCTTGCAGTATACGGAAGGAATATTTGGGCATATTTCAACAACTGAGTAAATACTCTGACTTGCTGAGACTCATCTGAATGGATTAACCATTGACTGCTTACTTAAACTTTTCCGATTCTGTTCGTCAGCACAAAAATATACGTGCTTACATTTTTCTCGGACAGCCTGAGAGCTCTTCACTTTAGCTGTGAGGCAGTTTAAGAGACATGGCTATCAAGAGATAAATGCTTGCCACAGATCAGAGAGAATTTGGATTTACCTTGAAATTGGAGAGGGCCTCCCAAAGATGCAGCTGATTTGACATGTTCAAAAGAAGTAGAGATTTTGGTTGATGCTGGTTAGTAATTGCATTTAGACAAAAATTACTATTCCTAGTGAAAGACTTGGGACACTGAAGTCCAGTTAAAGGAAGTTACCTCAAAATATGGTGTGCAGTGCTTTTGCTTAATCATCCTTCTTGCCCTACAACTTCATGACAGATGTGTGGAATGCAAATAAATTGGTTTATTTGGAATTAATATAATGAAAGGTATGTTGTTCTTCAGGCAACGCGGCAGGGGGAGGAAAGGTGGATATGGAAACTCAATTTCTTTCCTTTATTCACAACCATGATTTGTAGTGCTCTGACCAGAAGGAGACCTTCGTATTCATTGTGTTTCATTCCCTGTTCACCTAACAGTAACTAATTGGATGTATTTATTAAGAGGTGTGAGTGATGCACAAAAGCATTTTAGTGAAGTAGTCATGTGAAAATTCAGTATTCTTAATGTGACACACCAGGAAAATTACACACGCCATCAACTCCCCATGAAACCTGTGAGTGAAGAGAACAATTACTTGTTCATTTAGCAAAGAAATGTGAAACTGTCTTAAGCAATCACCTGCCCTAAGCGATGGGCCATGGAAAAAAATAATTGCAAGAACTTTCTAATAAAGGGGAAGCCAAAGTAGGTGCGTGGAACATGGGGCTAGGACTGAAATGAACAATTCTTCTGGCTTTTTCTTTCTCTCTCTCTTCCCTGCCCCTGTCCCCAGTCCTGTGCCCCTCCCGTAGTGAGGAATGTGTGTGTATTTTTTTTCTTGCGGAGCTTACTCAGCTAAGCATAAGAGAAGTGTTGTGGAAGAGCAAGGTGAAAGTAGCTGAGTCTTGTTACCTAATATGGGAATCTTGGTCAGGTGTGGCCTGTTACCTCCTATGGGAATCTTGTACAATTTTTGTTAATAAAACTTTTGAAATGTCTGGTTCATTAAGACTTAAAACATGTACTGACGGTGGTGTTAGTTCTCATTCTGCTTAGCTGAGGATAAGCGGGAGCAAACTTGGTGAACTGCAGTAGCATTGCAGCAATGGATGCTTAACAGCGGACGCTTTTTCTGTTGCAAAGGTGCTTGGAAGTCATCAGGAAAGGTGTCACCTTTCTTTCTTTTGGAAAAACAAAGTCTTGCCCTAAATAATAGTAATCAAGGTGTATCATCAGGAATGCTGCATTCTGAGATAGCAGATGACAAAGACACGGGACCGAATGAGCAAGGAAATGCACTTGTGGGCAGGTATCCCTTGGTTGTATTCCTAGCCTGTCTGATACAGTGTTTGGGGTTTTTTTTCCTCAAAATAAAACAAGTTTGTTGTACTGCAAATGTTTGTTTCATTGGCCTAAACAGGAAGAGATGAGTCAGGATTCTATTCTGATAGTTTTTGTGTCTGTCATTTTTCCAGAAAGTATCATTTGGAGGATCAAAAGCTGTGTTTTGCAGACATGGAGCACAAGAAACCTGCATTTAGCTGTTTTAGTTACACAATTTTTAAGTTTCATCACAGGACTTAATGCCTTTTTTTACAGTGCGTCAGTATATAATCCTGTTAGGAAGCTGCAGATTTATAATGAAGCAGGAAGTAGCAATGTTATCGTTTCAGCTGATTGTTTCCCTTGTGCTGTAGTGTATTAGCCAAGTGATGCTTCACTCAGCTGCGTAGAGCCAATTGCATTTTCAAGGACATCAGGCATGCCTGCAGATGAGTCATTGCCTTTGGTATGAGGTCTGATATGCAGTCTCAGCAAGCATTTGTCCACTGAAGTTGGTTAATAACCTATAGCCCTCTCCTGTGGCAAGTTGCCATAAATCAATCCTTTGTGCATTCAGCGAATGAAAAGGCTGGGGTATCGGCTGCCTTTTCAGTATCATCCCTTTATTCCCATTCCTAGAGCGAGGTGTTAATCTGCAAAGAGATTTTTCATGTCAGAGACCTCCCTTTCCGCCCCACCTCCCTTGAGAGCGTTCCAGATTGGAACAGGCTGCCCAAGACAGTGGTGGAGTCCCCATCCCTGGAGGGCTTTAAAAGCCTTGTAGATGTGTTGTTCAGGGACTTGGGTCAGTGGTGACCTGGCAGTACTGGGCTAACGGTTGGACTCAATGATCTTAAAGGTCTCTTCCAACCAAAGAAATTCTGCGAGAGGCAGTGGTCACAAGGGCAGCCATTAAAACCAGGGGAGAAGCATCACAGGGTTTTCTGTGAGTAACTGCAGCCTCCTGTGGACTTCCTCCAGATTTTGAAAACCTACAAAATCTCAGAGTCAGACCCTGGGCAGTAACTTCCTCCTTGGAAAGATGGATGGGACCAGTCAGGAAAGTGACACAAGACTGAATTTTACAGCGTTTACCCTGCTGTTGCTTCTTATTTTTTTGTTGGAGGTAATGCCAACAGCTGTCAAAAACAGTTTTTTTCCACCATCAGGAGGTGTAAAGTGGCTTTGGTGCCATTCCAATCCATATGGCGAAGGATTCCCTTTCCTTGAGTCCCATGGCAGCCCTCGGCACAACACCTGATGAGTTAAGGCCATGGGCAAGAGGGAGTTGCCTTGTAGTAGGCAGGAGTTATTAGAGCAAGGTGTTGTCGGGCCTCTGTAGGGTAACGGTGATGATCACTGCTCGCTTTTAGTTTTGATGTCATGAAAGAGTTGTTCCCTTAGGGAGACCACGATAACAACGAAACTTTAAAAGGGCGGATTATAAAACTATGAAGAAAACGGTTAACAGCAGGCTGAAGGGCAAAGAGAAGTACTTAAAAACTATAGAGATCTGCCTGGAGGCTATTTAAGAACATTGTATTAGAGGCACAGATGGTTTGTATACCTCTGAGCAAAAACATAGCATATGAGGAAGAATGAAACTCACAGGGTTACGTGGGAGAAAAGCATGAATATAGAAAGGTTGAAAATGCATCATCCCTTCAAGATGACAACTGCATGAATGACAGGCTGGGAAATGTTACCAGGAGAGCAGACAGAGCTGAAAGTGTCAGTGCTAAGAAAAAAGACTGTAGTAGCTGGTAACTTTGCACACCAAAAAGAGGATTCTGGTAATATCCTGAGCACCTCGGCTTTGAAAAGTGGGCTACTCCAGATGAGGCTTCACCAGAAAAACAAGTATGCTCTTCATCTGGGGTAACTAGCATGAGCTAAAGTCTTAATAAAGCCAAAGCAGTCCTCAGGTCTAAAATGTGACTAGGCCAGAGTAAGGGAGCCCA